TCAAACCCGCTTCGGAGCACCCACAGCCCCAAAGAAGGGGAACCCGGGGTCCCCGCGGCCCACACGGCACTTCCGCTAACAGAAAGACCTTACGGCTTCTGGCTTCTGCTGCCTTGGATCCCGAACCCAGCCGGAGTCGGATTCCCTGCCCTCTAACCAGCGTGGGTGGGTGGGTTACCGGACCCTAGTGGCCAAAGGGGGAAGTGGCTCTTTCGTGGCAGGGGAATGAGGCCGAGTTCTGCCTGACTGGTGACTTCCCGCCTCTTGCCTCAGTTTCCTCATCTGGAAAATGGGGGGCCTTAATGCCACTGCGGTTGGGTCCGTCTCAGAAAATTAACCAGTTAATGCCTGTGAAGCCCTTGTGCCTGGCGTCTCTGATTTGGTGCCCGATGGGCCGGAGCTGGGACTAGTACTCTTACCCTTATGTTGTCATTACTAATCATCACTGCTGCTGTTGGCGACTTCATAACAATTTTTTTTCGGTGGGGGGATAGCTCTCATCTTTATGGTTAACCTGAACTCTTAAATGGCTCTCACTCCTCCACCCCAGATTGCGTAGTCTGGATAATCCAAGAATTGTTTGTTGAATTAATAAGTAACCACAGCCCACTATAAGGTGGTGTTGCTCATAAGAGACAATTGAGGAAGGGGGGGGGGGTGAGCGTATGTGATATACTGGATACGTTTTAAAATTCAATTGCACAGGGGCGCCTGGGTGGCTCAGTTAAGTCAAGTCTTCAGCTCTTGATTTTGGCTCCGGTCATGATCTCATGGGTTCTCATGGGTTCGTGGGTTCGAGTCCCCCCTCTGGCTCTGTGCTGACAGTGGAGCCTGGTTGGGACTCTCTCTTTCCCTCCCTCTCTCTCTCTCTCTCTCACAAAATAAATGAATAAACTTTGAAAACATGGTAAAACTAAATTGTACCTATTTAGTACTTGGGGTGGTTATAAGATCCTAGATGCTCAATCGTCCTAACGACGTCTGATGTGTTTTTCCAGAATGAGCTCGTTTGATCCCCTCTGCAGCCCAGGGAAGTGGGTCCAGTCCTCCCTTACCTGTATTTCAGATGAGGAAACAGGCAGCGAGGGGGGGAAGCGTCTTGCCCAGGGCTATAAGCTAGTGGGAGGCTGGCTTGGGGTCCGGAGTCTGTTGTTGCCCTGCTGCCCCGGTGGTCTGCCCTGCCTCACTGTCCCCGGCCTCACGCTGCCTGTCCTGCTCTGCCCGCAGGGTGGCCACGGACCACAACTCAGACAATACGTCGGCTGTGCTGCGCGAATGGCTGGTAGCTGTGAAGACTTGGTACCACTCTGTGGAGTGGCGGCCGGCGGAGGAGCCCAGGTGAGCTTCGGCTTCTGCCCGGATGCCCCCCCCCCCCCCCCCCGACAGCCGGACTGGGCTGCGCCCTCATTCACACACCTTTCCTGATTCCCCATTGTCCCAGCTCTGCAGCCTTAAGGGCTGGCCTGGGCTGCTCTGATCCGCCTTCAGCTTCAATGGGCCGGAATCCTCCAGCTGGACCTTTGCCCCAGAAATTCTCTTCCCCCGCAGTTCCCTTGGGCCCTTGTCCTCCTGGTGGTGGGGACACCTACTGCTTTGTCCCCAGTGTCCCTCTGTGCCCTGGCACGAGCTCTACTGCTTAGCTTCCCCATGATCCCCTGGGCAGTGCTGACCCCTGGTTTCTTTAATCCTTTCAGGTTTTTTTTTCTTAACCCGTCTGCTGCCCAGACCAGATTCCGAGTCTGGGAGGACAGGCTGCAAGTTTGCTTCTGCGGCTCCTCTTACCCTCAGGAATGACCCTGCAAGGCATAGAGGCCCCCCGACCCCCATCTCCAGAGCTTTCTTCCTCCTCTGCAGCTGGCCCTGGGCTCCCTCCCCCAGTTTTCTCCTCTTGCTTCCTCGCAGCCTTCAGATCCAGCCCACACATCCCCTCCTCCAGGAAGCCCTCTCTGACCACTGCCCCCTGGGTTGCGATGGTGCCCCACGCTTCCCACAGCACAGCTGCCTCTCTGCAGGTCCTACCCGGACGAGGAGGGCCCCAAACACTGGTCCGACTCGCGCTACGAGCACGTTATGAAGTTGCGCCAGGCAGCCCTGAAATCTGCCCGGGACATGTGGGCCGATTACATCCTGGTGAGTTTCTCGGCCAGCTGCCCCCAGATGGCGGGGGAGGTCTGGGTGGCCGAGGGAGGCCGGAGCAGTGGGCTGTAGAGACCAACTTTAACCCCCCCGTTTACGGAGGGAAACAGGCTCTGAGGGGGAGTGAGTTGTCAGAGGTGACACAGCTGGGTAGCAGAGTTGCTGGGATTCAGTCCAGGGCCCCCTGGGCCCTTAGTCATCAGGTTGTGTTCCTAACCGTCCCCTGTGGTTGGACCCTTGGGCCATCTCCTTTTTATTGCCCCTCCTGCACGACCGACGATAACATCCTCTGGGCGAATTCCGAGAAGCTAGTGGATGGGGTGGGGGGCTGGGGGGCACTGGCGATGGGGCCTGACTTTCACTTCCTTCTGGGCCGGCCATTGCCTCTGGAGGGAGGGACGGTTCAGGCGCAAGTGCAGTAATGTTAAGGTATCTCCCCACAGGCCTGCGAGCCCCGTCAGCCCATCCCCTTGATCTGGACGTGATCTCCCCCCTGGTGCGGGTGGGGGTGGACGGCACTGAAGGCTGGGCCTGGCTCCCCGTGGAGGCTGAGTGCACCCATGCCAGCCTGACGTATCTGTGGTTGGTCTCCATCTACACGCCGGGCCCTTAGCTGCGGTCTGCACCTTCCTTATTTACTTAGTGGGCAGACGTCTGTGAGCCTCTCCCCTGCCCTCCGTCCGCGGGCTGGACCCCGAGGACACGGTGAGGGTCAGCACGGGCTGCACCCTGCCTTCCTAGTGTCCCCGGAAAGGTGGACGGGACCAGAAAACGAAACTGAGCGAGGACATACCGAAAGGCAGCCAGTGCTGCGATCGTACAAAGGCAGCTGGTGGCGGATCGGTGTCCTGGGGCTACGGTGATAAAGTAGCCCGCACTATGGGCGGGGGGGGGGGGGGGGGGGGGGGGGCTTAAAATGATGGAAGTTTATTGTCACGCGGTTCTGGAGACCAGCAGTCTGAAGTCAAGGTGTCCACAGGGCTGTGCTCCCTCTGAAGGCTCTAGGGGAGGGTCCTTCCTCACTTCTTCCAGCTTCTGGGGGCTCCGCATGTTCCTTGGCTTGTGGCCACATCGCTCTGTTGTCGGTCTCCGGGGTCACACGGACTCCTCTCTCTGTCTCTTCTTATCAGGTCGTTAGTCATTGAATTTAGAGCCCACCCTACTCCAGTCTGACCCCCTCTTAACCTACATCTTAGTTACATGTGCAAAGACCCTATTAAGATCACAGTCACAGGTTACCAGGGGTCAGAATTTCAACATATCGTTTTCTGGGGGCCCCCGTTCAGTCCACAACAGATGGCATAATCAGGGTGTTGTGATGAGTGAGCAGGGTTGGGGGCCTCCCTTAGGAGGGGACCCTAGCAGTGGATCCGAAGGAAGAAGGAAGCCAGCCTCTGGGGGGACACCGGGGACAGTGTCTGAGGCAGAGGGAACAGAGTAGGGCACAAGTGTGGGGCATACAGGGACTGGCGAGGAGGCCGGTGTGGCTGGAGGGGTGATGGAGGCGGTCCTGGAGTGGTGGGTGGGGGCCAGACTACGCAGACCAAGGGAGAGATTTTGCTTTTACTTTGAGGGTAATGGGGAGCCATGGAGGGTATGTGAGCACAGGAGAACTGTGTTCTGATTTACGATTTTCAGAAGCCCCATGGCTCCTCCCATGGGGAAGCAGGGTCTGTTGGGGCAGGAATGGGGTTAGCAGGAGGCCAGGGTAGAGGCCAATATGGAGGAGGAGGAGTGGGGAGTGACTGCAAATGGATTGGGGATGCTTTTTCAGGCTGAGGGGACAGGCTCTGTTTGGGGACTAGATGTGAGGGTGCCAGGAGGACCCCATGTCCCTGGCCTGAGCTCTGCAGAGAGGGTGGAGGAGAAAGAATGGAACACCCTTTATAAATTACTTTTTCTTTTCTTAAACTGAAAAAAAAAAAAAAAGAACAGACT